GGCGGGGCACCTCTCCCTTTGAAGTCCATGCTGATCCATAGCCGACCACAAGGCCAAGCCAAGGGCAGGAGGAGCCTTTGGCCAAGGGCCCGGTGGGCCTGGGGCGGGGGTGGGCCACGAGCTGACATCGAGGCTCCTTCCAGCCTTCTGCGGACAGCCTTCCCCACGCGGGACCAGGCCGGCAGGAAAGAAGGACGGATGCGGGGGAGCTGGACGAATCCCAAAACCTAATTTTAGCAGAGTGCTCCCCCCTCCCTGCTAACAGTGAGCGGAGCCTGAAAGGGTGGGGGCTTCCCACCCTTGCTGGAAGGGGGCTGCCCACAGGCGGGGAGTTAGAGCGGCGGCCCTGAGCAAAGCGGCCTGGGGTCTCTGCAGACCCTCGCGCTCACACGGGGCGGGGCTTTGCTGGGCTGGGCGGGCCCCGGGTCTGCCCCCTCCGCCACAGTGAGGAGGCAGATGCTGAGGCCGGTGAGTGACAGAGCTGAGATTACATTGGCTGGGTTCACGTCCGCTCCAGATGAGCCTAGGCGAGTCCCCCAGCCTCCCCCAGCCTCAGTTCCCTCACCTGCAGAATGGGGAGAATGGCATCGTCTCAGATGATACATGTCGCCATTCCTCTCGCCGCGGCGCGTCTCAGAAGGCCCCGAGAGGACCTGTTGTGCTGGACGCTGTGCACTGAGGTACAGAGGTGAAGAAAACCGCCCTGGTCCAGAAGCCTGATTCTAGAACAACTGATGAACTCCAGGAGCCTCCCGCGTCTGTCCTTCCAGTGGGGGCGGGGCAGAGGTGGATCCGAGCTGGGAACCCTAGGGACCCCAAAGGCAATCCCCTTACGGACAGGCAGGACGCCCAGGCCCCGAGAGGGACGGAGCCTGACTGATGGCTCAGAAACCAAAAAAACCCAAACCTGTTGAGCTGATTCTGACTCACAGCGACTCTACAGGACAGGGTAGAACTGCCCCACAGAGCTTCCAAGGAGAGCCTGGTGGATTGGAACTGCCGACCTTTTGGTTAGCAGCCATAGCTCTTAACCACTGAGCCACCAGGGTTTCTGATGGTGCAGAGGCAGGCCTTGAACCCCGGTGTCGGTACCACCTGTTCTCTGGGACTTTCACTACCAGGGAAGTCCCATCCCAGCCCTGCCGCCCCACAGTGACCTGGCCCTCTGAGCGGAGCTCCTGGCCGACACAGGGGAAGTGAAAGTTGCCAAGTACAGAGTCCGGCTGGGCAGATGCCTTCTCCAAGCCCGCAGTCACAGGTCCCCAATTTGCAGGTGGTCCCTGGGCGAGGTCTCACACCTCCTTCCCAGCCCCCACCCCGCAAATGGGGGATCATGCAGAGGCTGGGGAGAGTGGGCGGCGGCCTGATTAACCCAGGAGAGTCTTGGTTGCAGGTCGGCCCAGCCCTTGTGCCACAGGTACCCTTCTGAGCGGATGGGGGTCAAGAATGCCTCCTGCAAAGGCATCAAAGAATTCTCCACCGCCCTGAATTTCTCAGCAGCTGCCCTGAGGCAGGGGCTGGTGTAATGGCCTCTCAGGGTGTCCCCCTGTGATCTGAGGACCCAGATTTCTCACAGAGAAGGGGCACCTGTAGGGGCTTCATAGCCTCCTTTCCCCACCTCTTCTTTAACTCTCTTCTCTGTCAGGAACTTCCTTGCCCTTCTGTCAAAAACGTCTTAAGAAAGCGATCTCTAAAAATAATAAATACCCCATAAAACAAGATGGGACTAATGAGGCACAGCAGTCCAGGGACAAGGACTAGAAGGCAGAAGGGGACAGCAAAGCTGGTGATAGGGAACCGAGGGTTGAGTAAGGACGGTGTTGACATGTAGTGGGGTTGTTAACCATTGTCATAGGGCAACATGTGTACTAACTGTTTAATGAGAAACTATTTGTTCTGTAAGACTTCACCTGAAGTGCAATAAAAAATAATAATAACAAATAGATAGGTGAGTCTCCAGAAGGTAGATGTACCGGGCCAAGAGAACTGCCAAGTCATGACACCTTTCTGAGCCTCAGTTTCCCCTCCTAAAAATGGGCTGATTCTTGTAGGATGGGTGTGAAGATTAAAGGAGCTAACCAAAGAATACATGAGATAAGCAAAGTGCCGCAAGAGGGGCTGGCTCAAAGCGGGAACAAAGGAACCACCCCTACCTGTCCTTCAGGTGGGTGCCCCGGCTGGTGGGAGGCACTGAGAGTGTCCCAGGGTGAGGCACGTCTTTAAGCCTCAGTGAAAGCCTGCGTCCACATCTGTGCCGACTGGTGTGACTACATTGGGGTCTGTCTGCTTGTCCCTCGCAGAAGCCGTGGCCCCAAGATGGAGATGGCATGGGGACTCTTGGATCCTGCGTTAGTGTGGGGGTAGGGGGTGGTTCCCACACCGCCAGACCCTAGGGCCTCGTGCTCCTCCCCCGGCCCCTGGTGCCCGTCCTGCCCAGGCCTCCTGAGGCCTCTGCCCCCTACACCCTGCCTGCGGTCCATCTCCCCTGCCCTCAGAACCAGGCCAACCTGGTGCCAGCCCAGAGGCTGCCCGCCTGAAGGGTCCAGGAGGCAGCTAGTTGGCACATGAAGCCCAGAGGGCTCCCTCTTAATCACCTCACAGGGTGGCATTGAGCGGCCTCCTCCCCTGTCTGGGCTTCAGCTGCTTCATCTGGGATATGAAGAGACTGTAGAGGTGATGTCTGCAGGCCTTCCGGCCCTGACTGGCTGAATCTTTTTGCACAGACAGCCCGAGGCGCACCAGCTCCGTTGGGGTTCTCAGGCCCTTCACCGAAGAACGAAGAACGTAAGCCGTTATGCAGAGTGGCCTTCCTTCCTAGGCTGCCTGCCTCCCTCCCGCCGCCCACCCCGTGTGGTGGGTTCTAACCACTCTGCTGGCTCCAGATGCTGTGCCTGTCCACCCAGCGGGGTTAGCTTGGGGCTCTCTCTCAGGCACCCAGTCTCAGGCTCCCTGGCCACTGCACCCCCACAGACTTCTAATGATGTGTAGGGGGTGCTGAGGGGATAAAGGCAGGCAGGTGGTGGGCGCCAGCCAGCCAGACCTGGGGGAGGAGAGGGCTATGGCCCTGGGTGGGCACCCCAGCTCAGGGGGCCCATGTCCAGGGTGGGCTGTGCAAGGAGCTGAGGTATAACTACCTCCTGGAAGCCCACGGGCAACAAGGACACAGCTTTTTATTACAAAATATCTTTTATTGATAAAATAGCTGAGGCTTTTTTAAAACACCTGCATATCACAACAAGAGGGTCACAGGCAGCAATACCAGGGGTCCCATGGGGCAAACACACAGTGGGGAGGAGAGATGTCACCATTCAGCCCCTCCCCTGGGCCCAGCGCCCCCAGCCTCACCTCAGAGCAATGCCCTGGCCTCATAACTACAACCAAGGAGCTAGCTAGGTAACCGTCCACCTCAGAAAACTCCCTCAGCCCCCCTTCAAATGTGGCCAGGCCTATCAGAGACCCAACAGTGCTCCATGCCCCACCTCCAAGCTAAGATGCTCCATGGTCTAACGCTGCTGAGCCCATAAGCCAGGGGAAGACTGAGAAACACCCTTCATGTACTCTCGATTGTTCCAGAAGTCAGGTTCTGGGGTCGGGGAAAGAATCAAGAGGGAGAGACCCCTGCAGCCCCATCCATCAGGAGGCGCGATTTGGGGGGCCCGGATGGCCAGCTGGCACCCACCTGGGTTGGGATTAAGTATGCTTCGCAAGGATCCATTTAGCGCTTGGAGACCAGCCTGGGCACTCTGGGAGGAGGTTCCCTAAGTCCACGGGGCGCTTGCTCACTGCCCCAGCCCCAGCACCCTGCCTGGGGCTCATCTCAGACTGTTCCCATGGCGTGGGTATTTTTAGCTGTCTTGGGGAAACAATTTGCCCGCCTGATGACAAGCGACTTTTCCTCCACTGGGGGCCCCAAGCCACTGAAAACCCTCTCGGTGCCGCAGGTGAAGAGTCGAGAACTTGTCATGCAGACAATAATGTGGACCTCTGCAGGCACAAGAACACGTTCTCAAAGAAATCCTTCAGTTGAAGTAGTGATTCTGTCTGCACTCTCCACTTCCAGTCTGGGGACGGAATTCACACACCCCAGGCACAGAACAAAAGTCTCCAGGAAGACAGGCAGCGGCAAACACAGAGAAAGGGGTTTTTCTATCGCCGGATAATCACATGTGCTGGTTCTCTAGAGCGTTCCCCACGGAGCTCAAAGCTTTCTGTAAAGCCTTTCATCTCCCTGCAGCAAGTGGGCAGCAAGCTATTGTCACCCTGTTTTTTGCAGGAGGTGACTGCCAGTGATCAGGGATCTCCCATCGAGGCGGAGGCCGGGCCTCCAGACCGCCCTGCTGAGGCCTCCACACGCTCGCCTGCCTCCCAGAGGGGCGCCGGGTGACAAAATCCATCCATGGTTCTGGCCTTAAAGGAGTGGGGGCTGGGGGGAAAGAAGGGCCCAGAGACAGTGTCAGCCCACAAACCCCATCCCAGCCCCGATGACAGCTACGGGTGCCCAGTGTGGGTGGACAATCTTCGTTTCGGCCTCAGCTCTGCAGCAGGCTCCCCTGGGAAGAGTGGAAGGCGGGCTTCCTGCTCTTTAGGGGGAAGACGAAAAAGACATAAAAACCCCACGAGCAGGTGACCTGCCAGGGACACAGAGCCCTTGAGAAAGGGAAGCCCATCCCTGGCTTGTAGGGGCCTGGGATTCTGGGAGGGACGGCCTCTCTCTAGCCTGGCCTCGGCTACACTCAGGAGGGTCACTTCTCTGCCTGTGCTCAGGCAAGGGGTGGAGCAGAGGGCCCCCCAGGGCCAAGACAGCAAGAAGAAGGCTTCAAATGGACCCCTGTGAACAGCACCCCTGCCCTTGTCCCTCCCAGGGGTCTCTCATGATGGGCCTGCAGGACCTGGGCAGGGACCAGAAAGCCCCAGAACGGTGGCCACAGAAAGCAGGGCAAGAAGTACGGTGGTCCTGGTGCCAGCTGGCACCCACCCACACAGGCAGCAGGCAGGTGGGCTCACCAGGCCGTCCGGGTCCACTGGCAGCAAAGGATCCTTCGGAAGGCACGGCGGAAGTCCTGGTTGAAGACAGTGTAGATGACGGGGTTGAGCGAACTGTTGCAGTAGCCAATCCAGAAGAAGAACTGGAAGAGGCCGTGGGGCACCCTGCAGTGCTGTGGGCAGATGGCACCCAGGCTGTAGCTGAAGAAGAAAGGGAACCAGCAGAGCACGAAGACGCCGATGACCACGGCCAGCACGAAGGTGAACCGCTTCTCCCGTGTCAGCTGCGCCCGCCGACGCCACCACTGCCCACCTGCAGCACCCACACCCCTGCCCAGGAACACCTGGCCACGTAGGGTGGCCAGCACCCGAGAGCCCTGTGGCTGCTGCAGAGGTGGGCTGCAAGCCGTGGCAGGGGAGGCTGGCACAGCCGGAGGTCCACACTCCTCCTCCTCCTCCTTGTCAGCTTCCTCCTCCAGAGATGCCCCACAGACACCCTCCTTCTGGCCCTGGCCTGAGTTGGGAAGGACAGGCCAGCTGGGTGGCAATGTCGGGGTCCCAGGATCTTCTGAAGTCTCCCTCTCCTTCTCCCCAGGGGGCATAGAGTGTCCATCGGCCTCCCCAGCAACAGCCAGGGAAGAGGCCAGGGTTGGCAGATTGGCTAAGGCTGAAGGCCCTGAATCGAGGGAATGGGGCTGCTTGGACTCACCCTTCCTGGGGGCCCCCTTGGCCCCGGGCCCTCGGCGGTGGCTGCGTTTGGCGATCAGGTAGATGCGCAGGTAGACAAGGATCATGATGAGGCAGGGTGCGAAAAAGGAGCCGATGCTGGAGGACAGGATGTACCAGGCCTCTTGGTTGAGCTTGCACTGGGGGCGCCCGCGGGGTTGGGGGCCCTGGTCGCCCTTGTAAATGAGGGGCGGCAGCGAGATGGCGGCTGCAATGAGCCACACCGTCAGGATGATGCGCTTGATACGGCGCGGGGTGCGCTTGGAGTTGTACTCGAGCGCGCGGCTCACTGCCCAGTAGCGGTCCAGGCTGATGGCGCACAGGTGCACAATGGACGAGGTACAGAAGAGCACGTCCAGGGCCAGGTACACCTCGCACCACGTGCGCCAAAAGTACCAGTAGCCCAGCAGCTCGTTGGCCAGCGAGAAAGGGATGATGAGCGTGGCCACCAGGATGTCAGCGGCGGCCAGCGACACTAGGAATAGGTTCTGCGGGGCGCGCAGAGAGCGACTAGTCAACACAGCTAAGATGACCAGAGAGTTGCCGAAGATGGTGAAGAGGATGAGGAAGGTGATGACCGTCGCGATGGCCGCCGTGGCCTGCACAGAGTAGGGTTCCTGGTGGTCCATGGCGGGGCCGGACGCGGCCAGAGGGGCGTTGCTCGCCCAGCGCGCGCCCCGCCGGCGAGAGCGCTGCTCGGGTTCGGTTAGACCAGATGGTTAGCCTTTGGGAGCCGCTGAAGCCGCTGGAGCCCCATGACCGGGCCGAACGGGGCCGAGGAGGTCGGGAGAAGCCCAGGTCCAGCCACCACCCTCCTACATCCTCTCCCACCGGCGCCCCGCGTCCCTGTCGTCCGCGCCGGAGAAGTTTTTCTAGTTGTCTTGCTGTCGTCCCTGCTCTGCTAGGGACCAGGGCGAAGTTGCGCCCTTGCACCCTCCCACCACGCGGCTGCCAGACGCACCGTGGGGTGCAGGGAGCGGGGCGCGGGGCACGGGGCGCAGCCCGGGTGGGGCGCAGGCCGGGCGAGGGGCGCGCTGGCTCTTCTCGGAGGAGGCGCGGAGGCCGAGGGTCCGCTCGCCCGCTCGCTGTCGCCTGGAGCCGCTCCGGCAAGAGCCCGCCGCCGCAGGGGAGCGGGGAGGAGAGCGATCGGGGAGGGAAGAGGGAGGAGACTGGGGGCGGGAGCTCGCGCAGAGGTGGGGACGGGGGCGTGGGTGGACGGTGCACCTCGAAGGAGGGCGAGTCGGCGGCCGAGCGCAGCCTCCTGGCACCCCTACCTTTCTTCTCCCGGCCGCCGCGCCCGGAAGGTCAGAGGGGCCGGGCGTCTGGGGTCCTCGGGAATCAGGGAAGGACGCTTGCTGAGTGGAAGGGTCTGTGCGCCGGGTGCTGGGACGCGGAGCCGACACGTCCGCGGACACGGAGGCGGGTCCCCTCTCCTGTGGACCAGCCAGCGCCCGGGTCTAGAGCGGTGGTGAGGGCTGGTGTCTCCTCCCGCTGCCCAAGTCCGCCGAGCAGGGGATGGGTGAGAGCGTTGGGATGCGGAGGCGCAATAAACCACACCTCGCAGCCGGCGCCCCTGCAGTGCAGACGCCCTCAGAGGGGGCACTGGGAGCCTGTCCCAAACCCCTTCCCCAAATCCTTTCCCACCCTAAACGTACTCCGTGGGGCCAGCGGAGCCCGAGGAGACGCGCGTCGCTGGGTTGCGAGCGCCCCCTGCCGCCCCCGCGTGCCGAGATACCAGCGGCTCAGCCTGGAGAGACCCGCGTCCTCTCCCGGTCCTGGTGACGCTGAAAGGCTCTCGACCTACCTTGGTGGGGAAAGCAAGTGCTCAGAGCCTGGAATCTATGACCAGCTTTCATGTTTCTCCCGCAGCTGCCTGAGTTTCCCCCATTAAGAGCAAAAGAAATGAGAGGAAAACTGGCTTGGACTCAAATCACAGCAAGCAGCCGAGCCCAGCCAAGGGTTTAGTATTTGGCAAATGGTGGCAAACTCCAGCCTCTTGACCAGGAGGTAGAGGAGGTCCCTGCTCTGGCACAGAGCAAGGAGACCTACTGAGGTCCAAGGGCGGGGTAGGTTTGGACACAACTCAGAGAAAAAGTAGGTCTTGGGGCGGCCTGAAGGGAGGAGCTTCCTTTGGCCTCCGGGGGCTGTGGTTGACCCCCTCCCTGCTCCAATCCTGCCTCACTCTCCCAAATACATGCCGCACACCTCTCCTGGGGCGCCAGTGGAAAGAGGAGCTGGGATATGAAGAAACTTCAGACTCCCCCCCACCCCGCCCCCGACCTTGCCTTCAAAGAGCTGCGGGGCCCCTCCTCCCCGAGGCACCCTCACCCTACCCACTCTCCCTATGGCCACTGCCTCGGTACCAGCCCTGGCAGCCTCGAGGGCGCTTTCTTCAGAGCTTCCCGGGCCCCTGATGCTATCAGTCCAGCCTAGAGCCAGCTCTCATATTTATAGCCCACAGCTCCGCATGGCGTCCTCCGTGCGTATAAATAAGCATCAGTCCACCTCTGAGAGCAGAGTTGCTTCAAAGGACCCAGCCTTGAACCGGTATGCCCACTGTTCCTTCACTCCTGCCTGCCCAGCCTTCCCAAGAGCAAGGTGCGTGACCTCTCAGTGGTCACAATGGCTCACCCTACCCAGGCTTGGATGGGCAGCACCCCAGGGCCCCCGGCCACAGGGGCATTCTGGTGACGGGTTCCTCCTTGGTCCTGGGCTATCCCTGCCGCCCTGACAGGTTAACCAGCTCTTCGGATAGGTGCCTGATGCCCGAAGCCTGATTGAGGGTGGAGGGGGGTGCCGTCTAGGCCAAGCTGAAAGAGAGCAGCCAGCCTCCAGGCCCTTCCCTCCAGGCCTCGGCCCTCAGGCGACCACTCCAGCAGCAGCTTCTGTGGATGCATCCTTCCCACTCTCCGGCTGGGCACAGCCTGAGATCACGGTCACCAGGAGTGGAGAGGCCCAGGAGCCCTGCCTGAGGAAGGGCGGGGGGGGGTGGCCTCTGGAGCCTGGCAAGTAGCCATGTAGGTAAGTTCCTGCCTGTCCCCCTTACTCCCGGACCTGGGGCGCAAAGTCTGGGCACCCTGGTGCACAAAGTGGGCGTTGGGAGGGATTGGCTTTTCACCATCTCCAACTCAGGCAAGGGGGGCAGTGGGCATGACCCCAAAGCAGCCCTGGGCCTTCCACTGCCACCACCATCAGCCCTCTTCCTTCTGACTGGTTTTCCTTAAAGGGCCAGACTGCTAGGGTTCTGCAGAAACTGAGGCCAGGGATGCCCATACTCCCTCCCCTGCCGGACCCTCCCCACCCTGCAAGTCCCCGCTGAGGGGTGGTCATCTGGGCCTTCCCTAAAGGGGCACCCCGGGCTCACCCAGTGCCAGGCTCTGCTCGCACCTCTACCAGCCCAGGTCAGCACAGGTGGGGGCCATCAGGGACAGAGCCTACTGGCCGGTGGGCCTGGGAGATGCACACCCAGGGCTGGGAGAGCACAGGAGCTGCCCGGTGCTTCAGCATCCAAGCTACTCAGCTCATCCGCTGCCCGGGGGGCTCTAGCATCGCCTTCCGCCGACTCCTCCCCGCCCTGCCCCCGGTGGAGCACAGCAGCGTGGGTGCCACCCACCCTCCCAGCGGTGGGCCAGTTACAGAACTCGGTTTCCGCTCCCTTCCTCGGCTCCCCATCTCCCTGACCACACACACACCTTCGGAGCTGCCTTCGTGTCCCGCCTCCCTCCCCGCCCTCTCCCCAACCCCCACCCCCACCCCCAATCTCCGCTGCCAGGTGCAGGAAGCAGAGCCCAGCCAGCCCATCCACAGCAGGGCAGCGGCAGCGCTTCCGTCAGCTCTGCCAAACCAGATCTGACCCTCCACTGTCGTCCTGCTCCACCAGGGCTGGCAGAGTTCATTCCCCAGACCTGCGGGCAGCCATGGGCAGGAACTGCCTAGAGATTCCCAGCCCATCTGGGCTGAGTGGGAGGCCCGGTGGGAAGGGACCGTGAGGACACCGCCAGGCACCTGCCCTCCTTTCCTGCCCACTAGACTACAGATCGTTCCCTGGACACACTGAGTCCCCACACCTCCAGTCTTCCAGGGGCTGTTTGTCTGCCAGAAACACCCTCCGCGTCTTTCTCCTGTGCTTGGTGGGCCCTATCCCACTCTCAAGGTCCACTCCCCACACCCCCCTTAGGCGGAAGGAGGTACCCAGTTCTCCAAGCTCCTTGACACCACGTACCCTGCTCCATTTAACCCTTGGTGCACTGTACTGTGGGGTTGCATCACACCCCCCTTCAGAGTGGACATCCCCTTTGCCTCTGGTACCTGGCCTGAGTGTGTGGCGTGGTAAAGGGACAGTGGCGGCGGGCATCAGTGTATGCCATGCATATAAGCCTTTCTCAGACAGGCAGCACCCACGGTCATCTAGTCCTGCTATAACGGAAATATCACAAGTGGATGGTTTTAACAAAGAGAGGTTTATTCTCTCACAGTCTAGTGGGCTAGAAGTCCAAATTCAGGGCGCCATCTCCACGAGACTTTCTCTGTCGACTCTGGGGGAAGGTCCTTGTCATCAGTCTTCCCTGGTCTAGGACTTTCTCAGCGCAGGGACCCCAGGTCCAAAGGACACACTCTGCTCCTGGTTCTTCTTGCTTGGTGGTAGGAGGTCTCTCTCCTTTCTGCTCGCTTCTCTTTTATATCTCAAAAGAGATTGACTCAAGATACGACCTAATCCTGTAGATTGTGCCCTGCCTCATTAACATCATAAAAATCAAAACCAAACCCGTTGCTGTTGAGTCGATTCTGACTCATAGCGACCCTACAGGACAGAGTAGAACTGCCCCCTAGGGTTTCCAAGGAGCAGCTGGTGGATTCGAACTGCCGACATTTTGGTTAACAGCCAAGTTCTCGACCACTGCGCCACCAGGATAGAGTTTAGGATTTACAACACATAGGTAATTACGTCAGATCACAAAATGGTGGACACCCACACAATACTGGGAATCAGGCCTAGCCAAGTTGACGCATTTTGGGGGGACAATTCAATCCATAACAATGACTTAGTACATAAGCGATGCCGGCTCGCTTTCTGCATCCCTGACTGAGAGGCAGTGGGAGATGGGTCATCGTAGATGAAAGCCCTGGAGCTGCTGTTTCTCCAGGTGAGAGCTGAGATGGTGGCAGAAGCTCCAGAAGCTCACGGCTCCTCCCCTCCCCCACAAGGACCCACCAGGACTGATCCCCCATCAGGCTTCACACCTCACCTGTCCCCAGAAATCCCAGTCTTTCTAGTCCCTGGGACCCTTATATCCCCAGAGCTCCCAGACAACACCTCCCCACCTTCCCAGGTCCTTGAGCTGTGCCCTATGCGACGTAAGCTGGTCATCTTCCCTCCTTCCATCATAACTCACCCTACAAAACCCTAACCTGGTCAAACCTAAGGAGCCCTGGTTGCAGAGTGATTAAGCACTTCGTTGCTAACTGAAAGGTCTGCGGTCCGAACCTACCAGCTGCTCCGCAGGAGAAAGATGTGGCAGTCTGCTTCTGTAAAGATTACAGCCTTGGAAACCCTATGGGGCGGTTCTACTCTGTGCTGCAGGGTTACTATGAGTCGGAATCAACCCAATAGCAGCGGGCCTGGTCAAGCCGAAACCGTCCACCTGCTCCCTGCCTGTGACCAAGCAGCTGCTCCTTCTGCATCAGCTGACCTCCCTTTCAATTTGTGACACAGATCTGCAGCTTTCCTAGTGAGCGTCCTTTCCCGTTCCGCCTGACCTGGCCCTGCCTGCCTCCCCACCTCTCGCTTGGCACCCTCACACGGACCTGGCACGCCTTGCTTCTGCCTGCCGCAGGACCTTTGCACTGGCTGCTCTTTCCCCAGGTCTTTACAGGGCAGGCTCCTCCCATTATCCAGGCCTCAGCTGAAATGCCACATCCTGAGAGGCCTGCCTGCTCAACCATTGAGAGAAACACCAAGAGCAGATGTCACTCACCAATACCAGATGCTTCGTTTGCCACTTACTGTCGATCCCTGACTATGAACTCCATGAGAATAGACGCCCTGCCTTGCTCCCCTGGCTATTCTCAGAGCCTGTAACAGAGCCTGGCTGGCACATCTGTTGAATGAGTACAAGAATTGTTGAGTGAGCCCACATAGCATGTGGCTGGGAAATGGGGAGGAGAACAGGTCTCAGAGCCTGGGAGGGGGTGGCTAGCACCCAGACTCTGCCTAACACCCTGGGACCCTATACTTGCCACACCCCCACCTCTGCACACTGGGGCTCGAGGAGCTGAGCCAGGACTGGACCACCAAGCTCTGTGCAGGGTGGGCCTTGTGAAATAGACCCCAGACCAGAACTGCTCTGGACACCTGGCTCTGCAGTGATAGGTGTCTTCCTGGGGGATGACAGGAGGCTCTTCATGACAAGGACAGCCTTGTCTGGGACCACCCCCAAATGGGCAGGCACCTATCTTCCCCTTGAGCCACCAGCCCCAGCCAACCTCATCTCGCCGTCTGGAGAACCCAGATGCAGAAACCATTATGCTCCTCCGGGCAGCACCCGAGCCCTGGAGGGCCTCACAGGGTGCAAGGAAACCCCTGGCAGGTGCCAGAGGCCCGGCTGTGCCGCTTGGCGAGGCACATGGGTTGTGAGGCAGTCACACTTGGTCCTCTGATAAATGAAGGTGCTACACACACCGCCTGTCCCTGTGATCGGCCCAACGCCTCTGCCAGAGACTCTCCCAGCAGGGCTGTTACCTGCTAGGAGCACAGCCAGAGCCCCCTCCACGCTCACACTCAGACACGCCATGTCTGGGAGCAAGAAGAGGGACAGGTCTCCCCACAATCCTTCCCTGATGCTAATACTTGAGACTAGGTCCCTGTGCAGTGTCGCCCAATTGAGGGCAGAGGCTCCGGGTCCCCCGAGTGTAGCCTCATGCCCCCTGACCCAGCTCCAGCTGTGACCGGCCCAGAGGCTGGCAAAGGCCAAGCTCTCCCTGGCACCTAAGCGCTCAGAAGCCTCAGCCTGCACTGCACTCCCTGATCACGTGACCCTGACCAGCCATTTACTTCTCTAAGTCTGCTTCCTCCTCTGGAAAATGAGTGGAGCCAGCTGGGCGCCCACCTCCCAGGGCAGTCGGAAAGGCTAAAGGCGTCCGTGTGTGCGGAGTAGTCAGCGCGGCACTGGCATGTAGCAAGTACTCAATTTTTATTTCTGTCCAAAAGCATCTGAGGCTCTGGGCTGCATGGGGACAGGGCCCCACGGGGACAGGGCCCCACGGGGACAGGGCGCAGGCTCCTGCTCTCCTCCCACCCCAAACAGGGCTTCCGACAGGCCACAGGGAACAGTGCCTGCAGGACCGGGGGCTCCGCCAGGCCCGCTCCTTGGCACCTGCTGGAGACTTTCTTCCCTCCTGGAACAGCCTTCACAGGGAGCCGGGATCTGAGAAAAGTAGTGCTTGGCTAAGGGAAAACACACAGGGAGGCAGGGCCTGGACCCTTCCCAGCCCCTTTCCACCTCCCAGAGCCTCCTTCTGTCAAGCCCCAGGCTGAAGGGCAAGAATCTTGGAAACAGCAATTTGGGGTGGAGATGAACTTCGAGTCCTCTGTTCAGGAGCAGCCCTGGGAGGGTAGGGCCCCCAGCCCTCCACCTGGAGCCTTTCTGCTCAGCAGGAGAGCGAGCTGGGCTCTGAAGTTCTCCTGGAAAGCAGCGCTGGAGCGTAGGGCTACAGACAACCTTTCCAGCCCCCGGATCTCAGGGGCAGGAGGCTGTTCCCAAGGTCCCAGCCACGGGGATCGCTCAAGGCCTGGTCCTCCGGGAGATGTGGGCCAGCACCCTTAGTCTATGCTGGGAGACTGGACACAGACATAGGCTGCCAGGGGCCTTCAGCACTGGAACCTGCTCTTCCCCACCCTTCCCAGACCCCCTGTCCCTGGAGCCCTGGAGAATGTCACCTCCCATTCCCAGCATCCTCCAGGGCTGGGGCAGAAGTCACAGAGCAGGCAGAGCCGGGCATCTTCGATTTGTCTGCCTTCCCCTAAAACAGACCTAGGGAGCCGGTCTGTCCCCAGGAGCCCTTGGGGAAGCAAGGTGGGAGAGGGCCCTGCGCCTCTGAGAGAAGGTAGCCAGACTGGGGCTGGAAGATGAGGAGGTGCCACCCAGAGGGGCTGAGGGCTGGGCGACCTTGTTTCTCTGGGCAAAAGATTCCCTCCCCACTTGGGGACAAAAGCCACAGGTTTGACCTCTGGGCAACCCCCTAAAGTGATTTCCAGGTGCGTGGCCTCCTGGCAGAGCTGTGTTCCCCAAAGCAGCCTGAACAGGTGCTGGTTGGCTTTCTGCTTCTGGAGATGGGGCTGGGGGTACAGTGGGCACTTGGGTCAGCCAAGTCCACTCCTGAACAATGCCAGGAGCGCCCACTCCAGGCCTGGAGCTTGGGGTGGAAGCTGGGGCCTGAGGTGGCCTTGCAGGGGCCTCCACGCTGAACTTCTCCTGAGCAGAGGGCTCCTGGCCCAGTGAATTCTCTCCAGCTCCTGCAGCAAGACGCTGGCCTCCAGCCTTAGAGCCACTGAGATGACGACTCCTGGGTTCCACCAGCAGTGCCTTCAGAAGCCTCTGCAAGTACGGCCTGGAGACAGGTGTGGGGCTCCTACCACTGCTGTGGGCCTGGAAGCCTGGAGCAGAAAAGACAGGAGGTCATGTCCCAGAGTCACAGAAGGAAGATGGGTGGTCCAGCCTCAAAAAGTCAGGGCCGTCTTCAGCTTTATTCAGAGATGTAGAGCTCAGCCCACAGGCAATGATACCCAGCTAGGATGGACCCAGCTGCCCAGCCCCTGCCAAGCCCCTGCCGAAGACCTTCAAGACCCAAATTCTCACATTCACACTAGAAACAAAGGACAGGGCCATCCCATTTCCTCCCCACTTGGCCCCAAGGTCACCACCAAATCAGGTCTCTCAGCTCTTCCATGACCTCCCTACTCCTACCCCAGGCTGCTCTGTTGGCCAACTCAACTGACCCAGCGCTACAGCCCTGACTTCAAACCCTTCCTGGGACCACTCTATACACAGCAACACCCCCACTTCCTGTCCTGCATCTGAAGCTTCTTCCAGAACTTTGCCTGCACCTGTAGCCATATTCAATCCCAGGGCATCAGGAATATATGGCCGAGGGCTCTCAGGCCCACACACCACACCAGAAGGTGGGTCAGTCTTCCTTGCTCCTCACCACCACTCCAGACCACAACTACTGTCCACTTTGCAAATACTTCTGCTCTTTTACGCCCAAGTTTTCTAGCCTTACAGCCTCACTCCTTGAGTGCTGCCTCTCATCCCTGTCACCAGCCCGTGCATCAATGTGTCACCAATCCACCAGTCAACACTGACCAATTCCACACTGGCCTGCTTCCACCGGTGACTTTTCTCCCCACTTCATCCCATGTCCCTGATCAGCCTCACAGCACTTCCCCCTTGCCTTGGAGCTGGTCAGCACCGGAAACTACCACCATGAAATCTCCATTTCCAGCAGCCCGTTGATGGCAGCCTCCTCCACTTCCAGCTCACTCACTTAGTATCGTTGCTTCTTCAGAATTCCTGAGACCGGTTTTTCATGGACACCAACCTCATTGCTCTTGCCTCCTCATTTCTGGATGGCTCTCCTTACCCAGTTCAGACTCCATGGCCCATAACTAACCATGCCTCTGGAGAGGTCCTCTGCTACCTTCTGTCACACCTGCCCGTAAAACCGCAGCTCACACCATGCCTCCACCTGGGCAGCCAAGTGCTCCCACCACTGCCTGCAGGTTTCCTTGCCTCTTCTTCAGTCAGCCTTCACATCCATCTCTTTCTCCTCGCCGCCTCTCAGCTGGTCACTTACCTCACCCTTTACGAGATCAAAGCCCTCAAACAGAAGTCCCCTGTCTGCCCATCCCAAGATTCACATGCAAACTCCGGGCTATGTCTGTCTTCTTCCCTCCTATTAGAACCCTCCCCAAACATTCAGGATGTTCTTGGCTCTCACTCCACATGCACCCTCCCCCTTCTCCAGGGGGTCATCACTTTAGCATCAATATGCTAACATGTCTACCATCTCAATAAAACCCTTGGCTCACAGTCCCTTCCAGCCACCTCCCAATTCTCTAGTCCTCATGACAGTCAGATCTGCAGAACAAAACTCATGCCGTATCATCTTGCATTCTTTTTAATTAAAAAAAGTAATATTCGATACAGTAAAAAAATACATATTTTCCTTACATATGTGTATACATAAGGAAGAATAGTCTTTTAAACAAATGGCATTGGAACAACTGGATATCCACATGCAAAAGAATTAAGTTGGACCCCTTCCTTACATCATACACAATAATTAACCCCAAATGGATCACAGTCTTAAATGTAAGACCTAAAACTATAAGACTCTCAGAAGAAAACATAAGGGTAAATCTTCATGACCTTGGGTTAGGAAAAGCCTTCTCGAATTTGACACCAGAAGCACAAAGGACAAAAAAAAGATAAATTGAACTTAAATCAAAATGAAAAACTTTTGTGTTCAAAGGACACCATCAAGAAAGTGAAAAGACAAAAGATAGCCCACAGAATGGGAGAAAATATTTGCAAATCATACCTGATAAGGGACTAACATCTAGAATATATAAAGAACTCTTAACAACTCAATAAAAAGACAACTCAATTGAAAAATGGGCAAAGGATTTGAACAGATGTTCTGCAAAGAAGATCTACAAATGGCCAATCACCACATGAGAAGATGCTCAACATCATCAGCCATCAGGGAAATGAACATGAAAACCACAATCTGATAACACTTCACCCCACTGATATGGCTGCAATCAAAAGGACAGGTAATAACAAGTGTTTATGAGGATGTGGAGAAACTGGAACCCTCATACACTGCTGGTGGGAATGTAAAATGGTACACTCACTTTGGAAAACAGCTGGGCAGTGTCTCAAAAGAGTTAAACATAGAGTTACCACATGAGCTAACAATTCTACTCCTGAGGATATACCCAAGAGAACGGAGACATATGTCCACACAAAGACTCGTACGCAGATGTTCATAGCAGCATTGTTCATAATAGCCAAAAATGGAAACAATCCAAACGTCTATCAGCTGATGAACTGATAAAATGTGGTATATCCATACAATGGAATATTACTCAGCCACAAAAAGGAATGAAGTGCAGAGCATGCTACAACATGAATGAACCTTGAAAACAGTATACTAAGTGAAAGAAGCCCATCACAAAAGGCCACATATTGTATAATTTCATTTATATGAAATGTTCAGAATAGGCAAATCCAAGGGACAAAAGGTAATTAGTAGCTGCCTAGAGAGAAGGCAAGGGGAGCAATGGAGAGTGACCGCTCATAGCTACAGGGTTATTTTGGGGATGATGGAAACATTCATAAAATTGATTGTGGTGATGGTCACACCTATTTGTTAATGTATTAAAAGCCACTGAACCACACACTTTAAATGGGCGAGTTGTATAGCATGTAAAGTATATAAAGCTCATGTATTGTTTGCTGCCATCGAGTCAATTCTGACTAATGGCGACCCCACTTTTGTTCTGACTAATGGCGACCCCACTTTTGTTCTGACCAATGGCGACCCCACTTCTGTCCTGACCAATGGCGACCCCACTTGTGCGGAATAAAACTGCTCCATAGAGTTTTCAAGGTCGTGACCTTTCAGAAGCAGATTGCCAGGCCTGTCTTCCAAGGTGCCTCTGGGTGGGTTTGAACTGCCAACTTTTTGGCTAGTAGTCGAGCGCTTAACCGTTTGTTCCATTCAAGGATGTATATAATTATCCGCAATCGGGGAGGGATGGACAATCCCAACATTCAGTTTAAGAGCTATTCAAAAAACAACAAACCAAACCCGTTGCTGTCCAACTGATTCCGACTCACAGCGACCCTATAGGACAGAGCAGAACTGCCCCATAGGGTTTCCAAGGAGTGGCTGGTAGATTTGAACGGCCGACCTTTTGGTGAGCAGCCAAGCTCTTAACCACTGCACCACCAGGGCTGCTAAGAGCTATAGCACTATCTGCGTATCTAAAGTGAGCCATATGTTCTCTCTGCATCCCCCGGGGTAATCATCGCATCGACTTTTCTGTTAATTCTTCCCTTGCGTCTCCCCGTCTTTACGTGTACCTCAACGCAGTCTGCTTCTTAGAGCTTTTGAGCTTTCTAAGAACAGTATCATACCAAACGCGGTCTTCTGTGACTTGGCTTTTCATGTGACACGTTTCTGAGAGTCATCTCTGTTGTGTGGGCCTGCGGCTGACTCATTTTCCACCGCCGTATGATGTCCCATCGTGGGAATCTACTATAATTGAGTCATCCTTTCTTCTGTCACTGGTCATTTAAACCGTCTCCGTGTTCCTCAAACCCAGCCTGCCCCGCGTCACTCACCTCCTCTGGGGGCGCTGTGACCACCTGATCTGCAGTCATAAAGCCTGAGGACCCGGGTGACGTCCAGGGCACTCAGGTTCCTTCGCTGGCCAATGTGGATACTGGGGTCCCAGAGCGGCAGGATGGTGGGGATCCCGCGCCGGCTGAAGGCAAGCCTGGAACCCAGCAGGCAGAGGCCTGAGTCCAGATCCCAGCAGGGGCTGGGAGGGCAATGCCGAGGAAAGAAGAGAAGGAGAAAGGGGGGTCCTCACCTCCCATAGTGCATCACTGACGAGTAGTCATAGGGCACCAGCATGTTACTGCTCTGAGCTTTGAGGAAGTTGACTTCATAGCCTGGGAAAAAGAGCGCTTGAAAGTGTGGGAAGAAGGCAGACAGGAAGTGAGGTGAGAGGG